CTTATATGGACACATTTGTTCGAATAATTTATATATGATTTTTAGTGAGTTTTAATTATAGTATTAGATTAATTCCGGTATGTTAATTTAGTTGCGTTTATTTGTTTGTAAGAAGTCTTTTTATCTTTTTTATCAACTAGAACTTTTCCAAGAGATATGAAACACATTTGACTGTTCAATCGTGAATAAGTGTCGAGTTCTACATCAAGACTTACTCGAATTGTGAATATAGTGAATATGCGAACATTTGCAATTAATAATATATAATTAATTTTCTACTGCGCTTTTTTCGATAAGTAAATGTCTGAAGAGGGCTTAATCCGGTAGTCGAAACTTGTAATTTAAAATAAGTTTTTATTTTATTATATATTTTTTAAATTTTACTCTTCTCTATTTGTAACTTATTTTCTTAATTGCCGTACTTTTTTAAAGAAATGTGTTTGACTCTTACTTTGCCCTTTTTATTGTTATTTATTTGTATAGGAAGAGTCCTTCAATCTATTAAATTATTTTATCATTAAGAATCGCTCACCACGCATCTTATTTTTAATGTTTGGGAACAAAAAGAAGTCATTAGGTGATAAATCAGGCGAATACGGACAATGAGTCATCAATTCGACATTATTACTGGATAAAAAATCAATGGTTTGACGTGCTGTGTGACAGCTGGCGTTGTCATGATGAAGAATGATGCGACAATTTCGGTTCGTTCTACGCAATTCATTTATGACTTCTGGCAAACAAATTGTTGTATACCAATCAGTATTTACAGTCCTTCGATCCTTTAAAGCCAAGGTTGTCACATGTCCGGTATAATCGAAGAAACAAGCAATCATTTGCTTGGCAGCACTGCGTGAACAAACAACTTTTGTTGGTTTCGGTTTATTTTGAAATACCCAAACAGTGGATTGTTGTTTATTTTCGGGCTCATACGAATAGATCCATGTTTTGTCCCCAGTAACGATGTTGTAGACGAAATTTGACCGACCTCGGTTGAATTTCTTGAGCATTTCTTTGCTCCATTTAACACGAGCCTGTTTTTGAGCTTCGATTAAATTGTGTGGGATTCAACGACTGCAAAGTTTCCGTACGCTCAAGTGATCATGCAAAATCGTACGTATTGCTTTCATGTTAATGCCTAAGGATGCCTGAATCTCGCGATATGTTATATGCCGGTCTCGCTCAATCATTTCACGCACAGCATCAACATTAGTGGCAACAACAGATGGACGACCTTGACGGAATTCATCACCAAGAAAGGTACGCCCACGTTGGAATTCGGCAAACCAATTATAAACAGTCCTATTGGATGGTGCTTCATCCCCAAAAGCCAAATGAAGTCGATCGATGCATTGCTTCGAAGTTAGATTACATACCTTGTAATCGTAAAAAATCATTGAGGGAAAATTTTCACGCGAAATTTCCATTTTCTTAAAAAATAACTTCTTTTAAAATACTGTGCAAACAAAACTAGTTTGGGTACAAACTGTTAATTGAATTATAGGTTAAAAATGTCTTTACGGATATGATAGTAGCAGAACGTTAGCGCCACTGGAAGTACTAGATTGCAGAAACTTTTCCAGCAACTTGCGTACCTGAACTTGATCCGACTTGACCTGAACCCGACTTGACTTTTTTTTTATTAGCGTAGGCGGAGAAAAATCTTCACAGCGCCCTCTCCCGCAAGGAGTACAACCTTCGGGAGAGGGGGGGGGGAAAGACGCCCAGCGGCCCGCACCACTGGGTGTGCCGGATTCGACCGCACCGTGATCTCGAGGATATACCGAAGCGGCCGCCTACCGACTAAAAAACTCCCTCTTGTCCTAGCATTATATCAAAGCATACGTGGGAACACCCCGGAACCGCCTACAGGTATTACGTCAGGGTGCCCCCAAATGCCACGGGATGGCTCCCACCGCACATGCGGAAACGCCTACTTACAAACTAAAACTCTATTAATATATACAATATTTACAAAAAATATTCATACCAGCCGCTACGAGTAGTCAGAGTCCCCCGAGAGAGATGGAGGCACAGGCGGATGTACCACCCGGGCCCTCCGATCCCTCTCGCGGTCTCTCT